TCATGGGAGATATTGGCCTATAATTTACTTCCTTTGTAGTGTCTTTATTTGGTTTTGGAATTAGGATAATGCCAGTCTTTTAACTGGATTTGGAAACCTTCTTTCTCTTGAATTTTATGAAATAGTTTGAGAAGAAGAGCTGTTGTTCTCAGAATGTTTGGTAAAATTCACCTGTGAAGACATCCGATCCAGGGCTTTTGTTTGTTGGGAGTTTTTTGGTTACTGCTTCAATTTCACTAGCTGTAATCTGTCTATTCAGATTCTCTGATTCTCCTTGATTTAGTTTTGGAAGATTGTGTGTTTCTAGGTATTTGTCCATTTTGTTCAGGTTGTCCAGTTTGTTGGCATATGGTTTGTTCATAATATTTTCTTACAATCTGTGTTTCTTTGGTGTCAGTTGTTATTTATCCTCTTTCATTTCTGATTTTATTTATTTGGGTCTTTTCTCTTTTTTCCTTGATGAGTCTAGTTAAAGGTTTGTCGATCTTGTTTATCTTTTCAAAGAACCAGCTCTTGGATTCATTGATCTTTTGTATTTTTTTAGACACTATTTCACTTATTTCTGTTCCAATCTTTATTATTTCCTTTCTTCTACTTACTTTGGGCTTTGTTTGTTGTTCTTTTTCAAGTTCCTTTTAAGTGTGAAGATTGTTTATTTGAGCTTTTTCTTGTTTTTTTTGAGATAGGCCTATAATGCTATGAATTTCCCTCTTATATTGTGTTCCCAATGTCCCACAGACTTTGGGTTGTTGTGTCCTCATTTTCATTTGTTTCAAGATATCTTTTGGCTTCTTCCTTGATCTTGTTGTTAACCCATTCATTATTTAATAACATGTTATTTAGCTTCCACATCTTTGCATGTTTTTCAGTGTTCTTCTCATGATTGATTTCTAGTTTCATAGCTTTGTGGTCAGAGAAGATGTTTGATAGGATTTCAATATTTCTAAACTTATTGAGACCTCTTTTGTGTCCTAGCATGTAGTCTATCCTAGGAAACATTTCACATGCACCTGAAAAGTATGTATATTCTGCTGCTTTGGGGTAAAATAATCTGAAAATATCAATTAAATTAATTTGATCTAGTGTGTCATTTAAGGCCTCTGTCTCCTTGTTGATTTCCTGCTTGCAAGATCTATCCATTGAAGTCAGGGGGATGTTAAAAATCCCAACCATGACTGTATTTCTATTGCTTTCTCCCTTATGACCATTAAGATTTGCTTCATATATTTAGGTGCTCCTGTGTTGGATGTATAAATGTTTATTAGGGTTATATTCTCTTCTTGGATTGTTCCATTTATTCTTATGTAGTGTCCTTCTTCATCTCTACTATACCTTTGGTTTTAAAGTCTATTTTGTCAGATATAAGTACTCTGCACCAGGTTTTTCTTCTTTCCCATTTGCATGAAATATCTTTTTCCATCCCTTTACTTCTAGTCTGTGTGTATCTTTCAATCTGAGATGGGTCCCTTGGAGGTAGCATATATATAGGTCTTGTTTTCTTGTCCATTCTGCTAACCTATGTCTTTTGGTTTGAGCATTTAAGCCATTTACATTTTATGTGATTATTGATAGATATGTATGTAGAGCCATTTTATTGTTAGACTATTTTCCTTTTTATTTTCTTCTTCTCCTCCCCCTCCCCCTTCTTCTCCTTCTCCTTCTTCTTCTTTTCTTCAACCAAGCCCTTCAACATTTGTGGCAGTGCTGGTTTGGTATTAACAAAATCCTTTAGCTTTTTCTTGTCTGAGAAGCTTCTTATTTCTCCTTCAGTTTTAAATGATAGCCTTTCTGCATAAAGTAGCCTTGTTTGTAAGTCTTGCATTTCATCACCTTGAATATTTCACACCACTCCCTTCTGGCCTGAAATGTTTCCCAATTAAATGCCAGTCTAATTGGTACTACCTTTATGTAACTACCTGCTTTTCTCTTTCAGCTTTTAGGATTCTCTCCTTGTCTTTAAGCCTTGTCATTTTAATTATGATGTTTCTTGGTGTAGGCCCCTTTGGGTCCAACTTGTTTGAGATTCTCTGAGGTCCCTGAATTTGTGTGTCTTTTTCCTTCACCAGATTGGGGAAGTTTTCATCATTGTTTCTTCTAATAAGTTCTCAGTCCCTTGCTCACTCTCTTCTCCTTCTGGTATTCCCATGGTGCAGGTGTTGTTATACTCCGTGTTTCCCAAAATGTTTCTGAATCTTATTTTTATTATTTTTTCTTTTTGCTGCTCTGCCTGGGTGTTTATTTTCTACCTTGTCTTCCAAATTACTGATGCGATCCTCTGCTTTACCTAACCTCCTGTTTATTTCTTCCAGTGTATTATTTATATCAGATATTGCACTCTTTGTTTCTGACCAGTCCTTTTTAATGGTTTCTCAGTCCTTTTTCATGCTTTTGAGTATCCTTATAATCATTACTCATCTATTTGATAAACTGCTTGTCTCCATTTCATCTTGTTTTTCTTCAGGAGAATTCTCTTGTTCTTTCATTTGGGGTCTGTTCCTTTGTCTTCCCATTTTGACTGCTTTTTTGTATTTTCTGCCTTAGTAATTAAACTAATCAGCTTTAAACCATCAGCTGTTAAACTAATCAGTCTATGATCAGCATCTTAAGCTTGACAGGGTGTGGCAGAGTAATTCCTGCTGCAGGGCTATTTCTCCCCCTGAGGCTAATGCCACCTGGAGGGGAGTGCTCTGCCTGAGAAGATGGCTCCTCAAGTATAGGGAATGACTCAGTACAAGGATCCTGGTGGCTGCTCCTTCAGTTCTCTACCAAGAGCCACCATCCCCAGTCTCTCCTCAAGCATCTCTAGTCCAATCTGCCCTCCCTTTGCCAGAGCCCAGGGTAAGTGGCTGCAGATGAAATTTTGTGCACTGGCCCTTTAAGAGGCTCTCTGAGTCTCTAACAGACAAAAAAAAACCCTGCTGCTTTTCATAGCTGGATGTTATCTGGGTTGTTTTCTGGCTCTGGTGCTATAGGCTGGGGAGCCCTTCTTGGGGTTTAGACCCCAGCCTTCTCAGGGGAATGCCCTCAGCTGCTGAAATATCCCTCTATATCTTCAGCTGCTGCCTGTGGGAACCTGGCCAGTCCTCTCACATCTCCATACTCCCTACCAGTCACATTGTGGTGAAATGGTTTCTTCTGTCTGTCCTTGGTTATAAGACTTCCTCCAGCAAGTATTCAATTGGTTATTCAGGATGATTTCTCTACAATTTAGTTGTAATTCCAGATTGGTCCTGGGAGGAAGTTAGTGTAGCTTCCACTTTCTCCTTCACCATTTTCAATCTCCATCTTAATTTATCTTTTTTTAAATATACTTATTTTTAGAGAGAGGGGAAGGGAGGGAGAACTAGAGGGAGAGAAACATCAAAGTGTGGCTGCCTCTTGTGCACCCCCCACTGGGGACCTGGCCCACACCCAGGCATGTGCCCCAACCAGAAACCAAACTGGTCACTTTTCAGTTTGCAGGCTAGCACCCAATCCATTGAGCCACACCAGTCAGAGCCTAATTTATCTGTCTTATAAACCTAGATTTATTCAGCTATTCTATGCAAATAAACTTGTGATTATTTCAAGTTTTGGTACAAGATTCTTCAAAACTTCAATGAAAATATTTCTAATTGGTATGTTAAAAGTTGAAAATTAGGTCAATTCCACTATTTTATTACTCCAATTTTATTGCATTTCATCCAGGTATATTCCTAATTCTCTTTTTATATTTTCTTATGTATGCATATACACAAGATTTCAAACCTATAATTTTTACATTCATTAGTATGCTCAATCTATATTTCATACTGGTATTAGTTATGAATTTTATTTCACAACTCTGGGCATAATACCACATTCCCTTATTTTACTAAATCAAACAAAATTTGTTCCAAGCCCCCATCCTGCCATATTGGAGGGAAATTAAATCCCATTCTCAATCTACAGAGTCTTGATTCTGACCTGATTGTTTAAGTGAAGTTATTGAAGAGCAATGCCTTAGGAGTACCTATAAGTAACACTATATATATTGTGGTTAACAACAAAGAAATGCAAAAACACAGTTCCTGTGTTGTAGGATTAATAATAACATTAGGGATTCAAAATATATATACATAGGAAGCTTAACAACCTAAGAATGGAATCATAATTTTAAAAATCACAAAGGGATGTACTAAATGTAACAATGTGTGCTACTCAATGAAATGTGGAAATTTTAACTGGCCCTTAAGCATAATAAGATGCTAATAGGTAGAGAGGGGATTCTAGGTAGGGGAAACAGCCTGAGCAAGCCTAAGAAGTAAAGGGACAAAAGCTGTGTTCAAGGTTCAGTGAACTGAGCTCGTGGGAACAGAAAGTTCATATTGGGGACCTGTACGAGGCCAGGATTAGGGTGAGTTTGGATTTTATCCTGTGATTTTGAATGTGAGGTTGAATTTTATCCTGTAATGAGTGGCAAGTTATTGAAAGATTATGAACAGAAGATTAAGTCTGATGAATTAGACCTTAGAAAGTAACCAAAACCAGCCAGGTGTGAAAAGAAGAGCATAGGGAATGAAAAATAATTACATCAAGAGAAAAAATCAGCACTGCCTTGTTCATAATGGCTCCAAGATTTTGAGCCTCAGTGACCATGAAGTATTGGACCAAAAATAGGAATTCTGCAGGAGAGGACAATTTTTAGAACACAATCATCACTTTAGAAAAGAAGCTGAAGTATTGTACCAGCTAGTGATATTTATAATAATAAAAGTTTCACAAATTCACTGAAGAAAATAATGTGATAAGAGAAAAGCACAGTGTCATGGGCTGACCACAGGAAGCAACTGGAGTTATGGGTCAGAATGAAGTCACTGTAGAAGAAAGGGGAAAGTGGGAGAACTAGCGAGACATGTGGGGGTCTTTGGGGGAACATGTTCACAGACTCGTGATTCCTAGCTGGAATAAAAATGCTGTGTAGAAAGGGCAAGAATCAGGCCAAAATTTTCAGTGATTTTAATAAGGTATTTCTAAATCAAACTTTTATAAATATAAAAAAACTTAAACATTAAGTGCAATTCCATTGGAACTATTACAGAGAAAAATCCCACTCTATCAGCAATAATCGTGCCTCAGGTAAATCTCATTGGCTACAGTATTGCCACTGTGCAAAGCTACACCTCCTACTCTAAATAGACTGTATGAATAAACTGCCATATGTTACAAATTATTCTACTCTGGAAATAGCAGATTTGACTTGGTCCAAATTCATTTTTTAAACTATTCTTTTTGCAAATACAGTTTTTATGCAACATTTAATTTTTCCACTTGTCACGTTATTTTCAATGACACATCTAGTTTTTGTTTTTCTAAGCACTAGTCCCTACATTTTTAAAGCATATTTTATTTCAGAATGCAATAGAACTGGCTTTTGGCCTAGGAAGCCACTAGGAAGAGCATTATTTATGCTGCTGCCTGCCTCCTTGGACTGTTTGTCCCGTCCCTTCTCCATACTTGACAGCTCACCTGCTGTTCAAAACTGGGATGAGGTACTGCAGTTTACTTCTATCTCAACAAGTACCAAACTGAAATTCAGATGGCTCAACAATGCATTCTGATTTTGGTAACCAGTTTTAAATCTTGCTAGAGAATTCTCAGTAGAAGTAGAACTACTGAGCAAGATTAAAAATTGGAATTTAATATTACTATATCTTTTCTATAAGTCTAAAAGCATTGTGGTATGTTTCAGAGCTGCTTCCTCCACAAATTTTGCATCCACGTTGTCATGTCCTTCAAAACCATACAGAGCTAGAAAGAGAGAGCAAGAAAAAGAGTTACTATGAAGCCGTGCAACATTTATAATGTTGTGCACACAGCTCTTTGAAATCATAATTATTTTAAATTTTAGTAAAACACATTGTTCTGAGAATATGTTAAAATTTATTAAACCTCAGAACCAAGAAAGGCCATTTGTATCAACCAATGGGTTTATAACATCTTAAACCAGGGGTGTCCAACTCATTTTCACCGGGGGCCACATTGACCTCGAGGTTGCCTTCAAAGGGCTGAATGTAATTTTAGGACTGCATACATGTAACTGCTCCTTAACTAGGGACAAGGAGCTTGACACTGCCACTGGGTTAAATCAAGACACTGGGCCGGATAAAACAAGGTGGAAGGCCAGATTTGGCCCGTGGGCCTTGTGTTTGCCACCTGTGTCTTAAACCCTTCTAAAACTTCAGAGGTGATTGATTGTTCCTTTGGTAATTTACTCTCGGTAAATTGTATATTGCTAATTAAAACCAGCTGCACTAAGGACCTACTTAAAAGTAAGGGGCATTTTGGAAAGAAAAGGGCACAAAGAAGTAAATAGGGACTGACTGACATGTCAAGGGAATAGCAGGACAACACTTGAGAGCAGAAGAGCGAATTACCTCGATTGGAGGATTCTATATCTGTCAGTGTTTCAATGAAGTAGTTCAGAGGCAAAAATTCCACACTGAATGACGACTTGTCAATCACAGAACTCTGAGGCTAAAAAGGAAACCACGTCTGGTATTAAGTGATTATCCAAAACAAACACAGATTTTCTGAAAAGGTGGTAAGAACTACAGAATTGCTGCTCATAGGGAAATGCTGACATAGGCAAATAGGTTCCAAGAAAAAAGTTTAGTGGAGCTGTGCTTTCACACTGACTCACCTGTTTCTTATAGTTCTGAAGCAGTTGCTTCACATGGTTCCGGGAAATAATGTTAGAACTCATAGGATGATCCCAAAGTCGACAGATCTTCTGACCAATAAGCTATTATGCAAATTGAAAAATAGGTCAAGGAGGATTTTTAGGGTAGTGGAAGTACAATACTGTAAAGACGATCAAATTCACTGAATAACCACCACCAAGAGTGAATGAACCCTAATGCTAAGGATGGATTTCAGATGATTGTGATGTAGGTTCATTAATTCTAGCAAATGGACCAGTCTGGTGAGGAATGTTGATAATGGGGGAGGCCACACATGTGTAGGGTAGGGGGTATTTGGGAAATCTCTGTGTCTTCACCTCAATTTTGCTGTAAACCCTGAACTACCCTTAAAAATAAAGTTAATAATAAAAACAAAAGGATGGAAAAACATAGGAGAATATAGCTCACACTGAATTAAGTAAATGTACCTTATATCTATTCACAATTTTTAAAATATTATTCCAAATTTGCTAGTTAGTCTAAAAGGCCCTTTATGCTTAATGACCCATGGGAAAAGGCCATTTCCTAGGAGGTATGCCTCTGAATTTCGAATAAGTACTCTCTTAGATGCAACCCTGAGAAAGTAGTTTATACACTGATGTTGCCAAATTTTTTTTCTGAAACGGAGTTCATCTGCTACTCTTCAAAATGGGGGTTCTGCATGCCAACTCTAAGTGATGTTTTGATAGGAAACTAAAGGTTATAGGCATGTTCTCTGCCAATGCCTTGCCCAGAAAAATTTAATTCCCTAAGAGCATGAGGCAAAAGTAAAAAGTCAAATGTAGAGAGCAAACTAAATGTTCAGAGACAATCCCCAGAGAAATCTAGCCATGGAAAACATGCTTTGTTTTCTATTCTTGTCTTCGCTTCAATAAGCCCACGAGGGGGAGAGGGTGTTACAAAGGAAGCCGATTAGATCCAGAAAGGCAACGGACATCCCTTCGTGGGAGGATCGTGCCAGACACACAAGTGTTCAATATAGGTAAATAGCACACAGAGCTGGCCACCACGCTCGGGGTCAGGAAGTTCACAGTCAGAGGCTCTGAAGACCTTGCTGTGGAATGTCATAATTTCATAGTGTTTTTAACTCTGAGAGCTAATATTCCCCACAAAACAAGGAGTGCCTATATAACCCTCTCCCTCATGTTTCTCATTCTTCCTTTGACCTGGGATGTTGTCCAACCCTGGTGGAAACGACAGTGGGAGGAAATGTAGTTCCAGAACCTTCTGACCTCACCTGTACCTAAATGTCTTATCAGTTTAAAAGCCAAAAGCACATGTTTTCCCTCTCCCTCCCCTCAGACTCACAGATGTAAATATTAGTGTGGTTTCCTAAGAGAAGAAAATGGCCAAACGTTTTAGGTGGGCGGTGCCAAGGCAGCACAGCCAGAGGAGCAAGCACTTTGTGGACCTAGTGGGAGCTGCAGGCAGAGGGTGGGGAGGGATGGGATTTCTTGGAAAGAGCTGAAAGTGAAACAATTCAACTGACTTTAGCCCAAATCAAGTAAGTCCTCTTTTTGCAAGAAGAAACTGAAGGAAGTTCATGCCAAGGCTTAGGGAGAAAATGAAATATAATTAAGGATTACCGGAGGAAGCCGCACAATGATGCTGAATTTTAGTTTTTCATTTTTCTCTGTGTTGTCCAGATCTACAAGAAAGTAGATTGGCAAACAAAATAGACATCTCCATTTAGTGTCTGAATGAGCTAATAATGCTTCAGCGCTTCATCCTGGTAACACATAGCCCAACCTTGCATTCTCAAGCTAATACCGCTTTAGAATTTTTAGTTTGTGCCTCTCTAAATAAAGGAATTTTTAAAATAAACTGTTTCTGTTATCATGGAACATGGTTCTTTAACAGGATACTAGTCACAAAACAGTTTATTGACTAATATGAAACAGAGGGTGCCTTGAGGAATGAGAGAAACTTTACTATCTATTAACAAAACTCATCATAAAATACCAAAGCCAAATCATTTAAGTGAGAGTGATTATACTCCAGAACATATTTAAAGTTCAAATTTACATAATCACAGCATTTCTCATTAATTTTTCTTGCATTTCAAGTCTAACTTTGCAATGGCAGAGTTAATCAGCTGAAATCAAGCCATTTCATGACATTTTCCTGAGAAACACGCCTTCACAGTCTCCTATCCTCAAATGCCCTTGTGTACGGAAAAGGACTCTAATAGCTATGCGTGGATTAGGAAACCATTAGGGGTCTTCTGAGGGCAAAGACACTTTAAATTAGCCCATAGGATGGTTGGTTACAGGAAATATACTACTCAGAAGTACTAGCTGCATAATTTATGGCATCCAACACACAAAAAAAATAAATGTTAAGAGGAGCCCTTTGTTCAACTATTAAGATTTCAAGATTTAATGCAAACCATTAAACTAAGCATGGGGCCCTCCTGAGTGCTTCTGGGCCCCGTGTGACAGCTGTGGCGGTGCTCAGACTGGAACTAGTACTCTGGCAAACTCAGAGCCTCAGAGCCTCTTACCTTTCATGAGCCTTGTGACAGCTGTTTCTGTGAGAAGCAATAACCCGTTATCGATGTAATGTAGCAGGTTATGCAAAGGGAGACAGTGGACGCCAAGGATCGTGTGCAGAGTGTGAAAACCTAGGATGAGAGATGCGGGAGGGTAAACACGGTCAGCCAGCACCTCCAGCCTTTCAGACAGAATAAATCGATGGTGTTAATAAAACACTTAGCTCAGCACTTGGTGCCTAGAGTCAACTAAATGCTGCTTGAAATCAAGGTCCAAATTTCCTTCTTAGCAGTATGAAGACTAAGCATTGTGCTGGGTATTGAAATTCCCTCAAGTCTGCATTTCCTTCATGTTGTCTCTTCCCAGGCGGAAAGAGAAAATGAGTGAAAGTCCTGCTTGATGAAAAATGACTTTATGGTTTAACAGGTTGGCAATTCTGTGGTAAGATGGCAAAAGAGAACAGGTAACAGAAGACCTTCAACTCCACATGCTCAGTCTAAAAGGCCAATGAATAGGGACCATTTTGCTAAAGAGGCAAAAATCTGAACCAGAAGGAGACAGCTTACATGCCTGATTTCTAGGTAGGCTTGTGGTGTCTACTTGGACTAAATTATATGCAAGAAGAATTAAAATATGCTCAGATAGTAAATCCATAGGAATTCAATAGAAAGGAAATCTCTGCCAAACCAGAGCATCATGGGGAAGGAAGGCTCCTCCAACACATGGAAACCTAGCACTCTGAGTGCTCTATTAATAATAAGTGATAAAAACACCCATGGGAGGAGTAGATATCAGACCAGGAGAGAATCAGAAGAGCCCTCTTGGAAAAGATGGCATGTGAGGGGCACTGTGATGGTAAATGCAATTTCTGGGGGGTAGAAATGAGGCGGGGTGGTGTGGGGGAGGCATACAGAGTGGTGACAACAGAAAAAGCCAGGTTTATA